GCCGGGGCGGCCGGGCGGGCGGGGCGGCCCCGCGTCGAGCCCCGGGCCGGGCCTGAGCGCGCGGGCTGGGCGCCGCCGCCATGGCGGAGACCAAAATCATCTACCACATGGACGAGGAGGAGACGCCGTACCTGGTCAAGCTGCCCGTGGCCCCCGAGCGCGTCACGCTGGCGGACTTCAAGAACGTGCTCAGCAACCGGCCTGTGCACGCCTACAAATTCTTCTTCAAGTCCATGGACCAGGACTTCGGGTCAGTCGGCCTGAGGGCGGCCGCGGGCCGGCACCTGCGAGCGGCGGGCTTGGCGGGGGACCCGCGGGCCGAGCGCCCGCCCGAACCCAGAGCCCGAGGGGCCGGCGGCGGGGCCTGGCCCAAGGCCACCCCTCTCCGGAGTCCCACCCGGCCCTGTCAGGCTCGGGGTCTGCTGCATCTCTTGCAGGGTGGGGCTCAGGGCGGGCCGGAGGTCAGGGGGTGTCGGGGAAGGAAGAGGGGGAGTCCCCTAGTTGGCATGGCAGAAAGTGGGATGGGAGGGACAGAGACACCCGTAGATCTGTCAGCTGGGGTCTGCAGACAGAGCTTCCCTGGGCGCACCCCTCCAGGGTCCCTGTGACAGGGAAGAGGTCAGGGTTCACTGGGGACCATGGAACTTCATTCCGTCTGCCCCTGCCCTGAGGTTCCTGGCTGTTGGGCGTCTGTCCCTGCTGAGCTACACAGCACTTGTGTTCTTGGGAGCAGCCCAGGTCGTCTGCCATTTGGAGGCGGCCTGGGTCAGCACCTCCTTGCCAGGCCTCGATGGTGGCCGCCCCAGGCGAGGGGACCTCCTCCTTGTGCTAAGCTCGGCCTTCTGGGACAGCGAGGCTAGCAGTCTGCTCTAGGTCTGACCTGGCACTGCCTCGGGTAACCTGAGTCCCCAGCCCAGCAGTGCTTGCCGGGGTTGCTCAGAGGCCTTGCGGGCCCAGCAGGTGAGCCTGGCCACCCTCAGGCCAGCTGGCGTCCTTGTGTGTGGCTGAGTCTGGGGACTTTGACATTGAGGCCATTTCCTGGATTCTGTGGTCACATGGCTCCTGGGCAGCCCCAGGCCAGGTCAGGCTTGGGTTACTCTGTGGCTCTCGGAGGCTCAAGGGACGATTGGACAACTAGACTCTCTGGCCTCCCCACCCCACCAAATAGGGACACAGAGGAGAGGGTGCGTCCTTGGCAGGCTCTGACTGCCGTGGCCTTCCCGTGTGCTCAGGTTGGGTCGGGGCAGGAGGGGGTGTTTCTTTTTCGAGTCGGGCCTGGCCCTGCCCTTGATGGGCATCTCACACAGCCTCCTTGCTCCCCTGGGCCTGGGCTTCTTTGACTATGAGTGTGGGTTACGTGTAAGGGCATTTTGTGTTTAATTTACTATTTTAACAAAAATCACCCAAGTCAGTGACACTCTGTCACAAGCTCAGGCCCTGGGAAATGTGTGGCAAGGAACATGCCCAGCCCCCAGGTTGCAGCCCTCGTACCACGTCCTGGGGCGCATCCCAAAGGGACCCTGCCTTCTGCTCCTGACACCCAGTGGGGGCTGTCCAGGAGCAGAGACAGCCTGGCCCCCGGACCTCGTGCACTCCCAGCAGAGGCTGTCCTACTGGGCAGGTCGGGAGGACCCGAGGGTGCCCTGACCTCAGAGGTGGGTGGGCGGATCTGGGTCCTGAAGTAGGACTGAGTGTCGTTGTGGTGTTTGGTGGGCTCGGGCAGCTGGGGTGTGGGTCAGGGACCAGACAGGGGCTTAGACACAGGACTTCAGGGAGCAGGTTCACAGAGAGCTGGGAGGCAGGGGCCGGGCTGGGCTGTAGGGTTTGGGACACTGTGGGGACTGGGGGTGACACCAGTGCAGAATGAGCAGGCAGGCAGGGAGCTTCCCTCACTTCCTCCCTGGGCCCTGGCTGGTGGCCTCAGGAGCCTGGAGAGGAACCGGCTTCCTTCCTCCCCTGCCGGTGTTGTACCTGTAGAGCTCTGTTCATTCCGTGGAATGACTTAGTCGGTGGAACGAGGGCTCTGTGAGAGCAGCTGCTCGGTTGCTCACTTTATTGTAAACTACAGCCAGCTGGGAGCGCGCCCTGGGTGCCAAGTGACTGTAGCCAGAGTTGGGGAAGGGAAGGCAGGTCCCAGCTGGGCAGGCGCTGGCCCCGTGGGACGGGTGGCCTCAGACTGGGGCTTGAGGAGCAACCTGTGAGTCTGGGCCTCCTGCCCCAGCCCCGGGCTCCCCAAATCTCTGCTCCTGACCACAGCTGGCCACTTATCAAGGAAGGGAGCCTGGCGTGGCCAGCCCCACTCCCCACGTGCGTCTTGGCCAGGAGGGTGAAATCCCTCATCTGTCCCCACTTTCCAGCGCAGGTCACAGCTGTTCTGACCCGGGACCCCCAGGGCTGGAAGAGAGTCTCTAGGCCTGCAGTGGCTGGCCCAGAGTTGCCCAGTGCTGGGTTGGTGGGTGCCAGTGCAGGGTGGGTTCTGGCCCAGCCTTAGGGCTGAGGCAGAGGGGAGAGGGTATTTGGCTCAAGGTCCCTGCTACCAGGGGTGCCCCACCAATGCCAGGCCTGCTGGACTTGGCGCTTTGCTCATCTGCCTTGCAATGGCTCCAGCTTCTCCATCTCCAAGGCAGGGGTGACCCAGGCCCAGGGGCTAGGGACTGGGTTGAGGCAAGGTATGGACCCAGAGCTCTGATCTCTGGAGCCACCTGCCTGTGGACACAGGTGTCATGACAGCTCCTTGTGCTCTGGGCAGTGTGTGGGGGGACGTGAGGCTCAGCCTAGCTCAGGCTGCCTGGGGGAGGTCCTACTCTTCTCTCCCTGGCTGTGCCACCTGGGGTCTGTGGCTCAGCCTCCCTGTGCCCCATGTGCCTCCCCTGTGTTGGGAGAGTCCAGACAGTTCACCCATGGAGCTCACAGCCAGGGCCTGGCGTAGACCTTTGAGCCTGCGTAGCCTGGGGAGGAGGCTCAGAGAGACCCCAGGACTCTGCAGTACCCACAGAACAGGCTGGCGGAAGAGCGGCTAGACCTGGGGTCAGGAGTCGGGGTTGGGGCCTCCGAGGCTGAGGGCCCTGCTGCACCAAGGCTCAGCAGGAGCAAGGACCCCCTGGCTCGTAGGGATGTACAGGGGCTCTTTGAAAGCTCGGCATGGCTCTGCGCCTCCCATCGTGTGCCAGCTCTTGCTGCCCACTTCCTGCTCTGCCTGCCGTGGGGAGAGTGGGGCAGTCGGGCACTCGGGAGGCCGGCCTGCGGTGTGCTGCGGCCTCTGGCAGCCCCAAGGCACCTCTGTGGCCTGTGGCTGTGAGGGGCTCAGAGGGCCCTGCCTCGGGTCAGATTCCTCCCTGGGGCGCGTCTGTGGGGGTGGCAGCCGCAATTTTGAGGTTATCCTGCTAGGGATTCTGAGGTGGGGGCAAAATGCCGCAGGGGGTGCCCTGGGCGGTTTCCCCTGAGGTCGCTCTCCCACCCACATGGTGAGGCACACAGGGCTGTCGGGAAGCGCTCCCCCCTACCCTGCGGCTTCTACCCACCCCGGAACTTGTCCCCACTCTGGAGCTCCAGGGAGTGGTGCCGGCCAGTCGTGGGCAGCACTGGGCTCTGTGACAGGTGCCCAAGCCTGTCCTGGTGCTCTGGCCCCTGCTCTGCCATCTGGCCTGGTGGAGAGAGGTGTGGGCCCTTTCTGTTCTGGCCCTGCCCACCTTCCTTCTGGCCTAGCTGGGTGGGGGTCTGGGGTGCCCCAATGCCTAACTCTCAGGGCAGGGCAGGACGCTGTCACGCCAGTGGGAGGACTTGGGTTCCTTAGGCTGAGAGGGCCAGGGGAGCGTCTGTTGGGGGCTGGGGGCACAGAGACCTCAGGCAGCCCTGGATCATCCTGAGGCCTTGGCCCAGGGGTGGTGGGGGCTCAAGCCACTCTGGACGGTTGGGAGAGGGGCAGGACCTTCTGGGGGAGCAGGCGGTCCCTGCTGTGTGGGTGCTGGGGCGGCTCCCCTGTTTTCCTGCAGTGAGTCAGAGAGGGCTGGGGCTTGGGTGCGGCAGGGAGAGGCCACTGGGCCCACTGAGGCTGCGTTGGGGTGAGGTGGGGATGTGGTCCCTGCTGGGGCCTGTGTTGAGGTCAGGTTGCTCGGAGACGGGGGCTTGCCGTGGACCCCCATCCACTGACTGCAGCTAGCTGTGCTCTGGGAGTGCCCCCACCCTGGGCTGCTGAAGCCTGGTGTGGGGGTCACGGCCTTCCCTGGGAAGCCACCCAGCTCTGCAGGGCTGGGGCTTGGGAGTGGGGGCAGCCACACTGGGGGTCCTGAGAAATGAGTCTCTGCGCGGTAGGGGTATCCACCTCATTGTCACGGCTTGGCCCTGGGTGGTAGCCTCAGGACCCCAGAGGGCTGGGCAGGGGTGCCTCTCCTTCCTAGGGCGGCCACTGGGGCCTGGGGCCACCTCTGCTCACTGGGTGGGAGTGTGGGGTGCCAGCTTGTCCAGGGCCATCCTGCCACCTGCTGCTGCCCAGGACTGGCTGAGTCAAGGTGCCCTGGGGCCATGGGCCTGGGGCAGCAGGCAGGGGTGGCCTGAGCTGGCAGCAGGCCCAGTGGCCATGAGGCTGCTTCCTGCCAGGTGTGCGTCCAGGCCCGGCCTCCCGGTTCCCGTTTCTTCACTGGGCCCGAGTCCCGGGTGTGGAAAATCCCGCTGTGCTGGGCAGGGCTGGGTGCCAGGGGGTGGGGCACTGGCCCGCCTGGCCCTGGGAGGCCACAGCCCTTGCCTGTCTTGCCCCCTGCCCTGGCCCAGGGACTACCCCTGCCCAGCAGCTCCCTCTGAGCCCTGCTGGCTGCTGCCCTCAGCCCTTTGAACCCTGACCATGGGTCATCTGGCCTCCTTTCCTGTTCGCGTTCCCTGACCCCCTGCGTCCTGCCTGGGTGCCCACCCCCCACCCGAGTCCACCTACTGGGGGTGGGGTCCTGATGTTGGCCGGTGAGGGCAGCAGATGCGGCTTGTTACCCTGCAGGGCCTGGCTGCTTTGTGTCCCTGGGTGCCCTTACAGGTCCTGGGTGGGGGGGTGTCACAGCCCTGAGAGCCAGTGCTGGTCTAGTGTGTGGCGGTCTGCTTCGTCTCCCTGGCTTGGATGGACCAGGAGAGCAGTGGGCTGGCCACCTATGGGGTCTGACCATCCGAGTGTCTATGCTGAGGCCAGCTGTGAAGCAGGTTGGGCAGACGCAGGGAAGAAGCCAGACAGAGCCCCCTATCGCGAAGTAGGGTGGACATGTGTGTCGTTTTGGCCAGGGACCCTGTGCCGACCTGGGAGACGTGAACAGGGCTGGGAAGGGCAGGTGGAACCTGGTGCCGGCCCCATGGGTGGGGTGGCGGGCAGGAGGCCAGAGGCAGCCATTGGAGGGCTCGGGTTCCCTTGGGTTAGTGGGAGCCAGGGTCTGAGTGCAGGGGCAGAATGTGGCCCCAGCAGTTGAGGGGCAGGCTAGGGTGGGGGCCAACCTGGCAGTGGCCAGGAGGTAGAACCTCATATGACCTGCATGACCTGGTGGATTTGGGGTGTGGGACAGAGAAGAGCCCACAGGGGTCTTGGGCACCTGCAGGTGGGGAGCTGCTGTCCCTAAGACAGGGAGGCAGGGCAGGGGCTGTTGGCCTAAGCGAGGTTGGGGTGAGGAGAGTCTGACGGAGCCTGGGGCCGGGCGTGAGAGGAGGGTCAGGGCGGGGTGAACACTGGGGGCTGGAGACTTTCCCAGGGAGCCCCTCGCCCATCTGTCCACCCACCTGGAGGCTGGGGACTGGCCCTGGAGGGGAGCAGGAGCTTTGGGCTGACCCTGTGGGCTGGAGGGCCAGGGGTGGGGGCAGTCTAGGGTGTGACAGAGGTTGAGGAGGGTCCCCAAGGAGAGAACATGCCTGGTGGGGGCATCCGCATGCTGACGCCCGTGTTGGGCACGCTGTAGTCCAGGCCCCAGGGTGGGGCCTGTGCTGACGGAGGCAGGGTCGCCCCGTCAGGGATCTCAGGCTGTGTCTGCCCTCAGGGTGGTGAAGGAGGAGATCTTTGATGACAACGCCAAGCTGCCCTGCTTCAATGGCCGCGTGGTTTCCTGGGTGAGTCCAGTGGCCTGGCCTGAGGGTGCCCCACGGGGGTCTCCACATCACAGGGGTTGGGGCTTTTCCTGGGGGGAGGGGTGGGCATGGGGGCCAGGTGCTGGCAGGCTGGGCACGGTAGGGTTGGGGGCAGGTCACCTGTGCCCGGGCACCCCGCTGGGGTGGCCTGACCGGACAGGTACCCTGAGTGCTCTCCCTCCACAGCTGGTCTTGGCCGAGGGTGCTCACTCGGACGCGGGGTCCCAGGGCACTGACAGCCACGCGGACCTGCCCCCGCCTCTCGAGCGGACGGGTGGCATCGGAGACTCCCGGCCCCCCTCCTTCCAGTAAGGACTCTGGGGGGCTGAGCCTCGCTGCTGCTGGGGGGGAGGGGCTGGCAGAGAGGACCCCCTATAGGCAGGCAGGTGGCCTGGCCAGCCCACCCACCCCGCTCTCATCCACAGCCCAAACGTGGCCAGCAGCCGTGATGGGATGGACAATGAGACTGGCACGGAGTCCATTGTTAGCCACCGGCGGGAGCGAGCCCGACGCCGGAACCGTGAGGAAGGTACCACCATTGTGCCTGCCCAGCCCTGGACCCCAAACCTCCCTGGGACCCCTGTGGTATACCCCAAATCCCTGCCAACACCCAGTTACCATCCCCCAACCAGAGGAGGTCCCTGGGTAGAGGCCACAGGCATGGCAACCTCATCACGCTGCTGCTCCAGCCCTGTGACCTCTGGGCCCCCCGAGTCAGCTCTCTCCCTGCTGCCCCCACAGCCGCCCGGACCAATGGGCACCCGAGGGGGGACCGGCGGCGGGACCTGGGGCTGCCCCCCGACAGCGCGTCCACCCTGCTGAGCAGTGAGCTTGAGTCCAGCAGCTTTGTCGACTCTGATGAGGACGATGATACCAGCAGGTACAGGGATGTGTCTGTGTGTGCACAAGGCGTGCATGTGTGTGCGTGCAGGTGGTGCGCTGGCTACATGTGTTCGTGTCCCCATCTTTGCCTGTCTATGGGGGTCTGTGTGTGTGCCTGTCACGCGTGCAGGGCCAGGGCTGTGGGCACCAGGCGTGTGTGGGGTCTGTGTGTGTGCCTGTCACACATGAAGGGCCAGGGTGTGGGCACCAGGAGCTGCCTGCCCTGGGCCCTATGGTTCCCAGGTTCAGCCTGGTCGGAGTCGGGGGCAGGGTTCGCCCCCCCATGTGCCTCTCTCTGACCTCTGACCTGCCCCCAGGCTGAGCAGCTCCACGGAGCAGAGCACCTCGTCCCGGCTCATCCGGAAGCACAAGCGCCGCCGGCGGAAGCAGCGCCTGCGGCAGACGGACAGGGTAGGCAGTAGGCTGGTGGGGGCTGCATCCGCTGCAGCCCCCGCCGTGCTCACCCGCCTGCCCCCACAGGCCTCCTCCTTCAGCAGCATCACCGACTCCACCATGTCCCTGAACATCGTCACCGTCACGCTCAACATGGGTGAGGCCTTGGCGGGCGGGGGTGGAGGTGGGGGGTTGGCAGGGGTGGGGAGCACGGGTGCCTGCTCACCGCACCCCCCGCAGAGCGGCACCACTTCCTGGGCATCAGCATCGTGGGCCAGAGCAACGACCGGGGTGACGGTGGCATCTACATCGGCTCCATCATGAAGGGCGGGGCCGTGGCCGCTGACGGCCGCATCGAGCCAGGCGACATGCTGCTGCAGGTGTGGCGGGGGCTGCGGGGGCTGCGGGGGCTGCGGGCTGAGGTCGTGCCCGCCCACCCTGCCGACCCCTAACCGCTGCCCCCAACCCCCAGGTAAACGACGTCAACTTTGAGAACATGAGCAACGATGACGCCGTGCGGGTGCTGCGGGAGATCGTGTCCCAGACGGGGTGAGGGCTGGGATGCTGGTGCCGGGAGGGCGCCGTGCAGGGGCGTGGGGGCCACGGGGCTTTGGCGGTGACACGCCTGTCCCGCAGGCCCATCAGCCTCACGGTGGCCAAGTGCTGGGACCCGACTCCCCGGAGCTACTTCACCATTCCGAGGGGTGAGTGACCCCTGGGGCGGGGTGGGGGGTCGAGGTGCCCGGCCCAGCCTGACGGGCCTTTCTCCCCTTTGCTCTGCTCTGACCCCCGCTGCCTGCCCACCCCTCCGTCTTCTGTTGCCACGCGGCGGCTGCCCAGCCGACCCAGTGCGGCCCATCGACCCGGCCGCCTGGCTGTCCCACACGGCGGCGCTGACGGGAGCCCTGCCCCGCTACGGTACGAGCCCCTGCTCCAGCGCCATCACGCGCACCAGCTCCTCTTCACTAACCAGCTCGGTGCCTGGCGCTCCACGTAAGTGGCAGCTCGCGAGAGCCCTAGCAGCAAGCTGAGCCCCAGCGGCCCAGGGTCCGCCGGCCGTGGGCACTGGTGCTCCTGCGGCTGTTGCGGGGGCCTGGACACGTGTGCCGGCTGTCTCCAACGCCCCGCGTAGACGTGTGCACACAGACGACCGTGTGTGCTTCACGCAGCCCTGCTGCACTGCTCTGTCGGGAGCGGCAGGTGCACTTGGGCCCTGCCGGGTGCCTGGTGCACTGAGCCGGCTGGGGGTGGTTCACGTGGCCTCCGCTCCGCTTTCTTGTCGCTAACACTACTAACAGCCCCAGGCTCGCAGGGGAAGGGAGGGGAGCCCTGTCCTGTCCCGCTGGGCTCCGGTCAGGTGGGTGGGAGTGTCCTCAACCCTGTTTGGGCCCCAGGTCCTGATGTGTCTGTGGGGTAGGGGGAACGAAGGTCCAGCCTTCACACCCCCGTCCACTGCCCGATCCCGGGGTCCAGCCTGCAGTGGGTTTGGGCCCTCGCCACACAGCCCCCCGCCTGGGCCCCCGGCAGCAGGCTCTGCCTGAGCGGGGATGGGCCTGGAGTGTGCCGTGGCCTGTGCATCCTGACACCCCGGCTGTCAGCCCAGCCGCGGGGGCTGAGGAGGGGGCCGTGCCTTGCAGAGCTGGAGGAGGCCCCGCTGACCGTGAAGAGTGACATGGGCGCCGTCGTCCGGGTCATGCAGCTGCCGGATTCGGGACTGGAGATCCGCGACCGCATGTGGCTCAAGATCACCATTGCCAATGCCGTCATCGGTGAGCGGCCGTCTGCGGCCTGTGGGGGTGGGGTGGGGACCTGGATCCCCTCCTCATCAGGCAGGAGCGGCCCAGGGCTCCGTAGGTCTGACTCACGCGGTGTGGCCAGGGGCGGACGTGGTGGACTGGCTGTACACGCATGTGGAGGGCTTCAGGGAGCGGCGGGAGGCGCGGAAGTACGCCAGCAGCATGCTGAAGCGCGGCTTCCTGCGGCACACGGTCAACAAGATCACCTTTTCCGAGCAGTGCTACTACGTCTTCGGGGACCTGTGCAGCAGTGAGTGAGGGGTGCGGGGGGCCGGGGAGGGCCCGTCCACCCCGCTCTCACCCGCCCTCCCCCCACCAGATCTCGCGGCCCTGAACCTCAACAGCGGCTCCAGTGGAGCCTCGGACCAGGACACACTGGCCCCGCTGCCCCACCCGGCTGCGCCCTGGCCCCTGGGTCAGGGCTACCCCTACCAGTACCCGGGGCCCCCACCCTGCTTCCCACCTGCGTACCAGGACCCCGGCTTTAGCTATGGCAGCGGCAGCACCGGGAGTCAGCAGAGCGAAGGTGAGAGCCCCCCGCGGCCCCTGCCCCCCTCCCCCCCGGCTCCACCCTGCCCCTGCTGCTGCCGTGTGCTCCCGCTGTGTGCTTGGGCCCCGGGTGGGGAATGTGCAGGTGCCGGGGTGACCTGGGAGCCAGTGTGTGAGGGGGAGACAGAACCGTGTGACGCAGGGACAGGCTGGACCCCACTTCCCTTGGCTGAGGGGTGGGTGGGGAGGAGGAGTCTCAGGGAGCCTGGAGTCTCCAGGGTTGTGTGTGGGAAGGGTAGGGGCTGGGGCTCCAGGTGTGGCAGAGACGAGAGGCGGGAGACCGTGTGGCAAAGGACGTTTGAGAAGAGTGGGTGGGGTGGCTGGAGGTGTCAGGCAGGGTGACTGCAGGCCCCAGGACATGGGAGGATGGCCTCCAGCCCCTCCTGTGGCAGCTGCACACAGCCATGTGCCATGGCAGGGGTGTCTGGGGAGTCGGCGACCAGGGGTGTCCCCTGGGCACAAGGAGGCCACGTGCCTGCAGGGTCTGGGGAGAGGCGCAGGCTGCCGGCCCAGGCGACCCAGAGAAGGATGGGAGAGAGCGGAGAGGGGCCGGGAGGTGGTGGTGCCCCAGGAGCAGCTGTGTCGGGGTTTCTGTGGACCTGGACAGGCCCTCGCACCCACTCAAGCCCCCCCAGCCGCGGTCAGGCGCAGCCGGCGGCAGGCGCGGCGGCCAGGCGGGGCCTGGTGTGTGACTCGTGCTATTCCTTGCTTTGTGCTGAGCAAGCCTTAGGCTGAAGGACTAGCGGAGTGGACCCTCAGGGCCGGTAAGCCAGGGTCCCGCCCGCGTCCCTCTCGGCATGTCCCTGGTCGGCCTGCAGGCTCCCGCCACTTCCTGGGAGCCCAGGACGGGCTGAGTGGAGTTGGCCAGGGCCCTGGGGCCGGGTGGACAGTGGGCCTTGGGGCGGGGAGTCCAGGATGGCTGGTGGGAGCTCCGGGCACACGGGGCCCTGCTGGTGCCTCAGTTTCTCAGCTGTACGACCGGGCCCTCAGTTCAAGCATTGGGGTGAGGTATGGGGGTGCAGAGCTGGCCCCCAGAGTCCCCACCTGCTGCAGCTGCTCCTGCTTCCCGGGCGGTGTGGGCCCTGCCTGTATGTCTGCATGGCTGCCCGACCCCACCCCACTCAGGACCATCTGGTCCTGCCCCGGTCGCCTGGCAGTGGCTGCCTGTCCTGCAAGTGACCTGGCCTGGCACCGACCGCTGCCTCCTCCTCCCCTCCTCACCCCTAGGGAGCAAAAGCAGTGGGTCCACCCGGAGCAGCCGTCGCCCGGGCCGCGAGAAGGAGTGCCGGGCGGCTGGAGCCGGGGGCAGCGGCAGTGAATCGGACCACACGGCGCCAAGCGGGGTGGGCGGCAGCGGCTGGCGGGAGCGTCCGGCCAGCCAGCTCAGCCGCGGCAGCAGCCCGCGCAGTCAGGCCTCGGCCACCGCCCCAGGCCTTCCTCCGCTGCACCCCCTGACAAAGGCCTATGCAGTGGTGGGTGGGCCGCCGGGGGGGCCCCCTGTCCGGGAGCTGGCCGCTGTGCCCCCGGAGTTGACAGGTAGCCGGCAGTCCTTCCAGAAGGCCATGGGGAACCCCTGTGAGTTCTTCGTGGACATCATGTGACCGATGGCGGGGCTGGAGGTCGTGCTGCACTGGCGTGCGTGTGAGCGGCTTAGTGGTCTGGCCGCCGGGACAGGCTGTGGGCGCTGGGCTGAGGGCACCCGGACCCCTGCAGTCTACACCTGGCAGCCCACCTTCTTCTGGGGTACCCTGGCAGTGGAGCAGGTTGCGTCTATGCAGACTTGCACGGGGGAGACCCCGTCTCTGTCCTCAGCAGGTCTTATCTGGCCACTCAGCGTGAGCCTCAGGGACCCCCGGCCCCCGTCTGGAGCTGACCCACCAGGGTGAAGAAGACCCTCTTGGGCTCCATGCTGATGTCCCCCCTCCCGCAGAGCTGGGCTCCAGCCCAGCGCCCCCTGCTCACCGAGGTCACGGACCTGCCCATCTGGCCCCAGGCCCAGGGGGTGGAACTGGAGCCCCCAGGACCCTCTGGCTGCCTGCAGTAGGGATCTAATTTATTTATTTATTGCCTGGCTGGTGTGCTCTGGGGGAGGCGGCGGCCCTGCCCTACCCAGTGGGAGGTCTGCATGTCCTGGGCCAAGTGTGTGGACGGTTGGGCGGAGGCAGGGCAGGCTGTGCCGTCCCCCACTGTGTGTCAGCCAGGGCAGGAGGGGACAGGACCCCCAGGGTCAGGCACCGCTGTGCACAGCTGCTGCTGGGGTGGGGTCTCGGGGAGATGGGAGGTCAGCCGGCCCACCCTCAGCGTCCTTGTGACCGTGTGCCCGCATGCGCCACGCCTTCCTGGCGTTTCCGGCCCACGCCTGCGCTGTAGATATTGTATCAAAGTCCCAGCGTCTGCGTAGTTAACATAGCTGCTTCTGTGTAAATGCTGCTTCTGTATAAATGCTATTTTAAACACTAAAAAGCGTTTAATTTTATGGGTTTGGCGTGTGGCCTGTGTCTCTCCTCGGTGATGCTGCCGTAGACGGGGCATGGGGGTCGGTGCAGCCTCCCCCAAGGGCCCTGCCAAGAGCTGCCCCCAGGACCGACCCAAGCCCTGCTCGGGGCCTGGCCGGGTGCTGTCCTCTGCTCCTGCTGGTCCCACGCTCTGTCCCTGGTGCTGGCTGGCAGCGGGTCCTGGGTCCTGGCGGGCAGTTTTCTGTCCTTGGTGCTGGCTCCTGGCTCCAGGGGTCCTGGTGGCTGGTGCTGGCCGTGGTGCTGACCCCCCACCTCTGCCCGGGCTCTGTCCACGGTGCTGGTGGCAGGCACGGACCCCAGCCTGCCCACGAGGGCTGGGTCAGGGAGGGCAGGACACCCCCTCCTCCCTGGGTACACGCCTGTGCCCCCCCATTCCCGCGATGCTGGGGTGGGGTGCTGGGTGGGGGCCCCAGGTGGGCATGACCAGGTCAGTGGGGCCTGCTGTGGGGGCTCTCCTGCCCGCCTTGCTGACTCCGCGGTGCGGGCTCCTTCTGGAACAGTGGGGCTGAGCCCCCGGGCAGGCCTTGGTTGGGCCCAGCAGGTCGGGGCCAGAGCTGGGCTCTCTGGGCCCCAGGTGGTGGGGTCGCACGGGCCCCTCCTGTGTGCTGCAGGCCTGGCGGTCACCATGGGGTCAAGGTCAGCAGACAACTTGGGGTCAGAACCTGGAGCGGGAGGGTCTTAATGGAGAGCATTGGGGGTTGCTGGGTTGGGAGATCTCGAGGAAGCCACGGGGGTGGGGCCACTGGGTGGGGGCTCACTTGTTCTTGCTCCGAGTTCCTTCCTCACCCTGACCGCTGTCCCTGCCTGTGGCATCCCCGGGACCCCCTCCCAGGAAGAACTCGGGGGTGTTGAGCTCGGGCTGCCACAGCAGCAGGTAGCACTTGGGCAGGTGGCAGGCGGCCAGGATGCCCAGGGCGCAGAGGAGGAGGGCGCCCATCTGCACGGCTGGCTGGTAGGCCACCTGCACGTTGGCCAGGAGGGGCACGAAGGAGACCCAGATGATGAGGTAGGCCAGCATGGCGAAGGTGATGCCGCGGGCGTGGCTGTAGCGCCTGGGTCGGCTCTGCACCAGGAAGGTGCCCAGGAAGCAGAGGGAAGCCAGCGTGGCGTTGGTGGCGTGCACCAGGCCGAGGCTGACCCAGGAGTGCATGCGGCAGTGCACCAGCGCCTCTGTGGGCAGCACCTGCCAGTCTGTCACCACCTCTGGCGGGAAGGCTGTCAGGTACCAGGTGCACAGCGCCGCCTCTACCAGGACGGCCAGCAGCACCGCCAGCCAGGCCCAGGGTCCCTGCAGGCGGCCCCGCAGCCAGTCCGCCCAGCTGGGCGGCAGCTCCGACTCCACGAAGGTCTTGGCCGCCTGCAGGAACAGTGTGCTCAGGCAGCCGGTGAGCGGGAGGTGCGACAGCGGCTGCTGGGCCAGGCAGCTGGCGGGGCTCGGCCGGCCGGGGAACAGGAGGCTGCCGAGGCAGACCAGGCCCAGGCAGGCCAGGCCAAAGCAGGCCAGAAGCCCGCCCGAGGCCTGCACCAGCGGGCTGTCCAGGTGGTGGACAAACAGCCCCAGGGCGGCCAGCACCAGGCCCAGCACCAGGCCCAGCAGCAGGAGCAGCAGCAGCACGGCCGGTTCCCCCCACGCCAGGAACTTGGTCGTCCGGCGGAAGCAGCGTGTGCTCCGCTCCGGGGACCACTCATCCTGGTTGCACGGGGTGCAGGTGAGGTCATCTGCGGGAGGAGGAGAGAGGGGTGCTGGGGGGCCATCCTTGCCCCACCACGGGCTCTGGCCTTGGAGCCAGGACGCAGTGGGAGCCTCCCCTCAGTGTGCTCCCGCCTGCAGCCAGGCGGCGCTCACCTGCGCTGTGCTGGTAGCTGCCTGCCTTGCAGTCCACGCAGTCGTAGCAGCAGGAGTGGAAGCCCTTCACTCGGCGCACCTGGCCCTCTCGGCACTGCCGCGAGCACTGGGACACTGGCGTCTGGGCACGGGCCTCGGGGTCCAGCTCTGCCCAGGGCTGGGTGCACCCACCCATGGCCGGAGGGCCCCCCGCCCCCGGGCTGCACCAGGCCGGGGGCTGCGGTGTGGGAGGGACCCGCGTGCCCCGGCCCCCACTCACCTGGTTGTGGGCTGTGTGCCAGGAGATCTTCCCGTGCTGCAGCTGGAGGTGCTTGTGGAAGGTGCCCACAGTGAGGAGCGTGGGTGTTCGTTGCCCCCACACCCACAGCTTCAGGTCATGCTCCATGTCCACGTTCCCGTTGATGTCGAACTGCAGTGCCAGGCCGCGAACATGGAAGCTCATGTTGTACATGTTCTCCAGGAGCTGCGGGGGAGGCAGGGCTGAGTCGCAAGACGGATGGCCCTGCCCGGCAGTGGGGCACAGACTTGGCTTCCGCGTCCTCACCTCCCAGGGCTGCACGGGCTCCCGCGCGGGGCAGCCCGAGCTGTTGCACTGCAGGGTGTTGTGCAGGGCCTGGGCCACGCTGTACACGGCTGCGTAGGCGGCGAAGGCCCGGTGGTTCCTCAGCTCGGCGGACACGTTCTGCAGCGTGATATGGTCGCACTGTGGGCAGCGCGGCCCCACCACGTGCTCCTCCAGGTCTGGCTGCTCCATGCTCAGCGAGGCACAGAAGGCCGGGTCGGCGGCCAGGGCCAGGCAGGTCTGCACGTAGTTGGAGAACTCGGGCAGCGGGGTGCCTCGGTGCAGAAAGCCGAGCACGGTGCCCACCTGGGCCATGCCGGGCAGCGCCATGACCTGGTTTGAGGTCAGCCAGGCCTCGCTGGCCACCCACACCTTGGGAGAGAGCTTGTAGCGGATGCTGTAGGAGAAGAGGTTGTAGGCTGCGTGGACGGAGGCGAACAGCACCACCACCTGCACGTTGCTCTGGTTGACCTGGTGCAGCACGTCCTGCACCTTGCCCAGCTGCGGGCCGTCGGCGTGGGGCAGCGGCACCAGGCCCTCGTGTGCGATGCAGATGCCCTGCGCGTTGGCCAGGCTCGAGAAGATGCTCAGGCCCTGCCGGCCGTACTCGTCGTCGCTGCCCAGCGCGGCCACCCAGTTCCAGCCGAACTCCTGCAGCAGCTCCACCATGGCCGTCAGCTGCACGCGGTCGCTGGGCACCGTGCGGAAGAAGGAGGGGAAGGTCTCCCGGGTGCTGAGCCGGTCCATGCTGGCGCCGTAGCTGACCTGCAGGGGCCGAGAGGCAGCTCCTGACGTGAGGGGCTCCTACGGCGGGGCTAGGGTTGGGGGTGGGTGACGGGGCCCACCTGGGGCATGAGGAAGAAGCTGAAGAACTTGCCCGTGACCAGGGCGAGCTCCGAGGAGTGGGGACCGATGACAGCCAGCACGCGAGGCCGGTAGCGTGTGTAGTCGCAGTAGGCGGCGATGTCGCGGCTGCCGATCTCGGCCAGGAACATGAGGCTGGGCTTCATGGCCACCACGGGCTCTGAGCACGTGTCAAAGAGGTCGTAGCCCAGGCGCAGCCCCGGCAGCAGGGTGGACTCGTTGTTGATCTCCTCCACGGCCATCTTCACGGTCAGCGCCCAGAGCAGGCCGGGGGCTGAGAACCTGAGGCCACAGGGAGCTGCAGACGGCCTGAAGACCCCGCCCGCCGCCCTGCACCCCCACCCAGGCTGCTCCCGCCGCCCACCTGGTGCACACAGGGCTGCTGGGCTGCATCCTGCCACGGAGGCTGGCCTCCTCGGCCGTGCCCAGGGGGAAGAGCCCGCCCAGCATGTAGTCCCCTGACATCTTGAGCTGCTGTGACAGGCACAGTGGGGCCCCCGTCCCAGGACTCAAGAGAGCCGCGAGGCTGAGGCCCAGGACAGCAAGGCTTGGCATGGTGGGTGGTGGCTCCCAGCAGGGACATTGAGTGGGGGTACCAAGCGGGAGTCCCAGATATAGTGAGCCCAGAGGGAGGGGACAGAGGATTTGTTTAGCAAAACACTTGCCATCCTCACCTGCCAAGCCCCCGGGGGCCCTGGCGATGTCCTGGCTTTCCCAAGCCTGGAAGGTCTGTGCACGTCACACTCCTCCCGACACCACCACCGGGTTCTCCGGCCGACGGCACCCGCAGGCAGTCTCTGAGCAGCTGCTGGCCGTGGCCTTGTCACGTGCCTGTGCCCGAGCCCCTCGGCTCACCCCTTCTGAGCCGCCCAGCAGGCTGGAGAGGAGGGGCCGGGACACCCAGGGCCCTGGGGGCTTGCTGGTGCAGGAGGGGTGCAGAGGTGCCAGTGCTGGGTGGGGGCTTCTCATGGGCACAGAAACCCCTCTCTCCAGCACCAGGAAGTTTCTGGCCTCCAACTCAAGGCTGTGCTGTCAGCAGTTAGGGGGCTGCAGAGGTGGCCCCTCCAGGCCTGCAGACCAGCCAGGAGGCCAGCGACAGCCGACTGGCTGCCCAGCCTCCACCCTGCAGCTGGGTGGGGCCCTGGCCCTCCCCGCCTGCCTGGGAACAGTGTTCCTGAGGGCCTCGGCCACTCCTCTGCCTGGAAGCTGTGGTAGCTATGGCAGGTGCTACACTGCTGACCCCCAGCTGGGGCACTCCAGACACGGCGGGCGGGCAGGTGCCTCCCTCTGAGGACAGCTCGCAGCTGGGCCTGGAGGGGCCCATGCAAAGGAGGGAGGAAGTGCTGTAACCAAATGAGCCAGTGCACCAGGCCTGTGCCTGTGGTGGGGGGTGGCCCCAGGGTGGGGCCCGTCTCCCCTTTGCCTGGGTCTTGGGGAGCCCTCGCTGACAACTTAGGCCCCATGCTGACAGGAGCTGGGCGAGGCTGTCGACTTTTGCTGGGGTTGGGTCGGGGCCTGGCAGGCGTCCACCAGGAGGCCGAACCTGGGCTTTGCTCTTCCCTACTGCCCTGCAAGGGTGGGCCCGTGAGACAGGCACACGCACGTGCATACCCCTTGCTCTCTGGCCCGAGTGGACCCGAGGCTGTCCTCCCAGGCCAGTTCCTCAGTCACTGGCCTTTGCCAGCACCACACGGGGCCCGGGGCCCTGCCATGTGCACGTGGACCTGGCAGACTGAGGCTGGGGTGTCCGTGAGGACCCTCCCCACTTGCATCCTTTCTGTTCGGGCTACTGTGGGGCTCAGAGCAATGCCCACCCCCCACTCCGCTGGCAGGCCTGAGACCCTGTCCCCAACCCAGCCCCCTGGGGGTTGGCGAGTCTCCGTGTCTGGCTTCTTACCTGTGAAATGGGCTTGATGACACGGACCTCACAGTGTGGGGGGCAGACCAAAGCCCCCCAGGAACAGCCCTCCCCCAATGTTGGCTGACCCTGCCCCTCCAGGGGGTTGGAGCACACCCACCTCAGCTGTGTCCTGGGGGTCAGGCCCCTCCCTGCCCTAACAGGGTACCCCTGTGTCCCTCCCCCGGGTAATCAGGAGCCTTGTGTAACCCAGTATCCCCATCCTGGAATGCTGTGTGATTTATTCATGTTGGAAAACAAACCAAGAACCCCCAACGAGCCTGTGCGTCTGCTGCACTGTGGTGGTCTGGCAGCTGCCACCTAGGCAACAGGGTCCTGTCCCTCCTGTTCCGTAACCCCCGGGTCTCTGGGGCACTGTGGGGACAGGACAGCAAGGGGTGGGAGTGAAGGAACAGAGCATCCTCCTGGGCACTGGGGGCAGAGTCCCAGCTCCCCCAGTGGGAGGCAGTCCGTGTCCCGCGGGAGCCGCCGCCCTGAGGGCTGCATGCTGAGGGCAGGGTGGGCCTTCCCGAGACTTTTGGGGGAAGCCGAGTTCGGGGCTTCAGCTCCCACTGTCACTGCCCCTGGCCCACCCAGCACAGTGTGAGGCCAACCAGGCAGCGAGGGGCAGGGAGAGCTCGAGTGCCCAGACCCTGTCCAAGGACTCTCCCCCTCCCGGGGGACAGCCACCCACCTGGGCACAGACACTGCGTCCTGGGCCTGAGCTTGGCACGGGAAGGACACGAGCTGGCTGGTGGGGAGGACGAACCCACTGCACCCCAGGGACCTGTGACTTCACCCCACTTCCCAGAGTCTGCTCTGGGCGGGTGGGGCCACCTGTCACGCTCTGCATGCACCGATCTGCCCCCTTCTCCACTGTCTGCGCCTCAGCGAGGCCTGACTGAACACAGGAGGCTGGAGGTGAGGCTGTGGCAGATGGGCCTCCTCCCGGCCTGGCCACAGCCTGTGACTCCCCACATGCTCAGCTTGCAGGGGCAACGGCAGGTCTCCCGTTTTCAAGGCACCCAGAAAGCGCTGTCACAGGATTAACGGGCCCTGGCTGCCCCAGCCCAGCTCTGCAGCAGCGGATGCCCACCCGGCCGGGGCCCCCAGCCGCTAGGGCAGGTCCAGCAGGGAGTGCTCGGCATAGAGCTTCTGGGAGATGTCGTAGACGCGCTCGATGAAGGGCAGGGCCTCCCCCAGCATCTCCACTGCCTGCTCGGGGGTCCCCACGTTCATGGCCTCAAGGAAGACCTTGCGTGTGGGCAGAGTGCAGAAGGCCACAGTGACAGCCCGGCGCACGATCCAGGGGTGGTAGGCAGCCAGCGAGGCGTTGTAGGCGTCGGTGCAGAGCGTGGAGGTGCGCGCGTCCTCAGGGCTGGTGCGCAGGCCTTCGAGGAACAGCTGCAGCCAGTACAGGGCACGGTGCAGGCGCAGCACGGTCCGGCAGCCTGAGTCGGGGTGGTGGGAGCGGTGCTCCAGGTCCACCAGCTGGTGGCCCACCTCATAGGCCACCATGGACTGCAGGTTGCTGTAGTGCTCGCCCTGGGGGCCGCTCCTCAGATGCTCCATGATCTGCAGCTTTGAGACCACGTCCTTGGAGATGAAGGAGAAGATGGTGCCCAGGCTGCTCAGAAACCTGCCCGAGGGAAGCAGGAGCTCGAGTCCCCACCCAGGCCCTGAGCTGCAGGGCCAGGGAGGCCGGGTGGGAACACCTGGGGTGGGTGGGCGCCTGGCCCTCATGGTGCCAGGTGGGATGGGACTTTGGCTGGGACAGTCCCGGTTCAGGCCTGTCCCTCTGCAGAGAAGCCATCCCGGACACACACCTGACCAGCCCCTTCCAGCTGGTGATGTAGTGGTCCAAGAGGACCTCTTCCTTCTCGTTGAGACACTGCTTGAAACTGACCAGGACGACCTTCAGGTTGAAACCTGTCTCTGGATTATCCATTTTTTGATACAAGCTGCAACACACACAGCAGGGCTGGTCGGTTGTCTCACTGTGAGTCGGCTCCCTCCGCAGCTCATGTTTTCAGTGTAGGGGGAACAGTTGGAAAGAAGTAGCCAGGATCCTGTCAAAGCCCACTGAAACCCCCCCAACTGGAGACACACCACCCGCCCTGCCCCTTGTCCGGGTCACACACCCAGACCTTGGCACAGCCCCACCTCGTCAGGGTGACATTCTAGTGGGGACGGTGTGTCGGACAATAACAAAGACGGGAAGTCCTGGGCTAGCAGATGAGGAGATAAATACTGTGGAAAATGAAAATGGGGATGTTGGCCAGGCAGGCTGCCCCCCACCCCCAGCCCACTGCTACTCCCCAACCCAGGGCAGAGGCTGTGGGGCTCACTGGGTGGATGGACAGGCAGATGGAAGAACACCAATCTTTTCACTCCTGATGCTGAAACTGTACGCATCCCGCACAGGAGAGTGGCTGGGCCAAGGTCTTACCGCATGCAGAAGATGGCCACAGGCCCTCCCTGCAACCCTAAGGAACCTTCGGGAAGTGGCCCAGGCCCTGCTCTGGACTCTGCTTTCATTCATAGTCACTCCACAAACATCTAAGCACCCCTGTCTGACGTCTGTGGCCGGCACTGTGGCAGCTCTGATGGGTCTCAGGCACTCAGCTGCATCTCACCTTGCCTAGGAGCTCTCACCCCGCTGGGCCTGGGGGTTCCCGTGCCCTGGGTGCTGGGAGCTCTGCCCTGGTCTCCTGGCCTGCAGGCCCCCAGCATGGGGCAGGGGGAGCCCCACCTATGGCGAGAACCCCGGCCAGGAGCAGGACACCTGGGTCCCTGTGTGGGTTCTGCCTCCCGCCCAGTGGGCAGGTTGCTCACTGTCCTAAGCCTCAGTCCTTCATCTCTGGGGAAAATGGGCTGCATGCCCTGCCCTGCAGGCCCAGTGGGTGCTGCGGTCCTGCAGGCCCCACAGGTTGGGCTGCATGCTTGGCACTGGGCTGAGGCCTCAGGGATGAGCTCACCTGTCTTCAGGTGCAGGGACGGCGGTGCCTGGGCCTCAGGAAGATGGCGTCTGGAGACTTCTGGCACGCCCCTGCCCTCTCTCAGGGCTGTGTTGTGTTCACTGAGCAGGTGGCCTTCGAGGTTCCCAGGCTTCCTTCTTGGTCGTCAGATATCCTGCAAGCCTTCCTGCTCAGAACCTGAACCAGCAGCCAACAGGGAGCTGCCGCGAGCCTCTCAGAGCTGCCTGCTGGGGACCACAGGAAGGGCAGTGGCTGCAGAGCCGGGGCGGGCAAGCCGCCAGCTGCAGGAAGGTGACGCAGGGGCCCGCAGCCGTGCGCACAGGCAGCCCGCCGCCCCAGGAACAGCTCTGCCAGTCTCACCCGGGAGGGGCTCCGATGGCACCGCCTGGCGGGTCCCTGCCCCGGCCGAGGGGCCAGTGTGGGGGCGCCCTAAGCCGCCGCCGGCCGCCCTGAAGCCCGTCCTCGGCCGCCCACCCGCTGCGGCCCTCTACGAGGACGCCCCTTCCCGTGCCCGGGGTCCCATCAGCTGGGTCCCGGGACCCGCGCCCGGTCCCCCGGCGACCGCCAGACCCCGCGGGTTCGGTTGGGCCGGCGTCGCCTCGGTGCTGCAGCTGCTTCGCACCGCCACCACCCGCAGCCCGGCTCCGCCCCGCGCCCCGATTGGTGGGCGGTCGCCCAATCAGGAGGCCCGACGGGCCAGGCCGCATTTCCGGAGAGCGGACCGGAAGCCTGCGCAGTTACGCCTGCGCAGTTACGCCTGCGCAGTGCATCACCGCTTCTCAGTCTTCCGCGCGGCCGGTGATCGCGGGGTCGCGGGGTCGCGGGGTCCCGGGGTCCCGGGGTCCCGGGGTCCCGGTGCGCGGGCGGGTGGTCCTCCAGCTCTCCCTGCGGAGCGCGCGCGAGCACCAGAGTGCGGAGGAGGCGCGCTGAGGCCGCCCGCGCCGCGACCATGCCGGAGATCAGAGTCACTCCCCTGGGTGAGTGGGCGCCGCCCGAGGGCTGCGGGGCTGGGGTCCGGGCGCGCCCTTCCCCTCGCGCCCCGGGGCTGGGCCTTGCTCGGGGCTAGGGACGCTTCCCAGGCCCCCGGCTGTGGTCGGAGGCCCCGAGCGGACAGCGAGCTCTCCGCCCGGCTGGGCGCCTCCACGCGCGCTCCGGCCCCCACGGCGCGGTCCCGCCGCGGCCTCGTTGGAGGGGGGAGCTCCGGCTCCGTCGTGCTTGGGGAGGCTGTGAGGCGCCGAGGCCGGGGCGAGCAGGCCGTCCTGGCTTGGGTCTGCGGCGAGGGATCGAGCCGTGCGCCTTCTCACCTCTCCTCCCTGTCAGGCCCTTGTGCAAGAACCACTGCAGAGTGGTCAGGGAGAGAAGGGCTTAGGGGTTGCATGCTGTGTGATGTCAAGGCTCAGTCTCTGCACCCCAGGTTTCCTAGCAGTGAAGTGAGAGTCAGATCCCCGAGTGCGGGACGCCTGGTATCACGTGGGTGCTGCGCAGATGCTGCCTCTGCACGTTTCCTGGCAGTGGTGTGGGAGTCCAGCCACAGGGCCTCGGTCCCCACTGGGTGCTTTCATCAGTGTGTTTACCTCCTTCTGCACGTGGACTGCTGCCTTGCCTCTCCCTGTTCCTCCACCACCACCATCTGGTGCTTGCGCCTGGCTTACCTGCGATCAGCTCTCAATTGCCCTTGTTTTACCTGATACCTATGATGTTAAAAAAGTAGCTTTGTTTTTTGCAAAAAATAAATGCACGTTTCTGAGCATTCTGACAGGGTAGAACAGTGTGAAGGAGGAAAGAGTGACTCAAAATCCAGGGTCCCAGGAACAACTGGGCATATCATTTTGTGGCCAGCCCTCTGGATGTCTCTGGGCTTTCTCTGTGCGTGTGCTCCATGTGCTGTCCCGGAGCCTACTTCCTTCAATGGGCAAGGGTGTCAGGAGCATCTTCTGTGTAGACATGTCTGTCCCCGTGAGCCCACCCAGCCCCTGGCCTGGACATGGAGCTGTTAACAGCCACAGTGAACGCGCCCACCTGCCAGGTCGGACTGCACATCCCCCGCTGTCATGGGCCCTGTGGTCCCCCATGGCCTTTTGCAACTGTCGGCACCGCCCCGCCTCCTCACCCAGGCCACCGTGGCCCTCTGCTCTCCTCTGTCCCGGGCTGCTCTCCAGGGGCCTCTGCGGGCTCTTCCTCCTGGTCTGCTCCTTTCCTGTCCGGCTCCTTTGCTGTCTGCCCTGTGCACTCTCCCTCAACAGTCCTGTCTTTCTTATGGCTTTAGTTACCCCAGATCTGCACCTGGGGGTACCCCCAAGGTCACCTCAGTGACAGCGTCATCGAAGCAGAGCTCTGCTTCACCGTTTCCCTTTACCAGGCACAGCGTCGGGTCAGGTACTGGGGTCCTTGGGGTCATTCCCACCACAGGGTCCTCACACGGCTGTCCTCCCCCCTGGCTGCCCCTCGCTCCCCTGCTCAGCCATTGTCTTCTCAGGGAGGACTTTCCTGTCGTGGTTCCAGAGGTTTCCAGGCACCCTTGTCCTCTTCCCTTCCTTCCTTTTCTCTGTCACAGTCGTCTCCGGTGGATGCACTTGGCGTGCGTCCTTTTACTTGTCTCCCTGCCTTACGACATCGTGAGTTCTGTGGGACAGGGATGTCTCCTGCTTTGTTTTCTCCTGAGTTTTGTCCCCTCCCCCAGTGCTAGGCTTTGTCCCCACTATCCATGGATTGTTGTGGGTCCTGTGGGAGGCAGGACTACCAGTGCTCAGGAATGGGGCTTTGGAGTCCACTCTTAGTGGCGTGTGCCTCCAGGTGTCTCTGTGACCTCAGGTCCTCCCCCGGAAAGAGTGGTGGCCCTTCCTCCCTGCAGATGTCTGGAGGGCTTCTGAGCCTGGGGTGGCTTTGGGGCTAAGGGTACAGAGGGAGTGAGACCCTGTCTTCAGGGAGCTCACACGATAGTGGGGGCAGGAACCGGCCCATCAGAGAACCTGAGACCCCAACCAGTGGCTGGGCTGCGGCCTGGTCCCTCTGATGTGTGTGGTGCTAATAATGTTGGATGCTTCAGGCAGCTACCAGAGCACTCAAGATAGAAACCGGGTTATTTGCTGTTCTCAGACCCCTGCCCAGGCTTAGGCCATGCAGAGGCGTGTTCCTTTTCTTGTGGGCCCCCAGGTCCCAGAGGAGGTGACAGATGGCCACCTGAGCGGGAGCTAGGTATGCACCATGTGGCCAGGGTCTCCGCTGGAGCAGCTGGGCAGGGCTGCCTGGTTGTCAGGAGTGTGGAAGGGACTAGATTAGGGTCTGAGTTGGGGGATGTGGCAAGATTCACAGTGGTGCAGGGTCTGTGTTGCCCGCATGCCCAGGGTGGGGTGTCACGCCTCTCAGCCCACACGGCTGCCACACAGCAGCCTCGGTCCAGCTTCTTCAACACACTGAGGGCCCTGTTAGAGCTTGGAAGGCAGCAGGGTGGGGCCGAGGATCACTTGTAGCAGTGGGGAGGGAGAAGGGGACCTGGCAGTGCCTCTCACCAGCCCTCCCCCTCGAGCAGGGGCCGGCCAGGATGTGGGCCGAAGCTGCATCCTGGTCTCCATTGCGGGCAAGAACGTCATGCTGGACTGCGGCATGCACATGGGCTTCAGTGACGACGTGAGTCCTCCGGATGGGCGGCCCGGAGGGCAGGGAGGGCCAGCCACCCCGCCTGCTCCTTGTAGCCACCTGCAATTGGACTCTGGGCCTTGGAGCTGGACAGACAGGGCGAGTGGGCAGTGGTGGTCTGCCTGGACAGCTGCAGCCCATGTTGGGGGGCATCCCACTCCTGGGTGGCCTCCTGACCATCACTTGACATGTGGGGCCAGGCTGAGGTGAGCCCTGGCAAGGGGTCCGTCTGTACTGGAGTTGGGCCCTGGTGCCTACAGGACCCTACAGGCCAGCTCGGCGAGACCCGGGGTTCGGCTTCCCGCTCAGGTCTGCTAGTGAGGTTGCGGGTGATGGAGGCTGTGAGCAGCCAGGGGTCCTGGTGCTGCCTGCCAGGGTGGGGTTCCCAGCCTGGCCTCGAGTCTGTGCCCTGACCCCCTCTCTGGGGCTGCTCCCTGGGCACCCTCCACAGCTGCCTGGAGATGGGGCAGCGGCTGCATTCTGACTCTTCCCTGGCTCCCCCCGCAGAGGCGTTTCCCCGACTTTTCCTACATCACCCAGAGCGGCCGGCTGACTGACTTCCTGGATTGCGTGATCATCAGGTGAGCACTGGCAGGCCTTGGCCTCCATGCCTGCAGAGGCCACAGGCTGTGAGGTGTCGCCCAGCGGGTCACGTGGTTCTGTCCCTGGGCTGTCTGGGGGGGGGCTCACCCCTTGGGGTGGCAGTCAGCCCAGTGGAGCCAGGGTCGCTGTGGCGCACGTGCCATTGGCCATGCCCCTGAGCGTTGTGGACGAGAGCCTGGCGGGTGCCCAGGAAGATGGGGCTGAGAGGGCCCCTGTGCAGAGATGGTGCATTTTACCCGCGGAGCCAGGGCTGTTCCTCAGGCCCCCCTCACTCAGCCTCAACGGCGTTCGGCAGAGGGGCACTGAGCCCTCCCACCAGTCCTTGGTCCCCACTGGGCTTCCAGGCCCTGTAATCTGCCCCCTCCTGGTCACACACTGGTCTCTGCCTGTTCCGTCTGGCCCTCCAGGCTCCATCCTCTCCCTGCCTTTGCTGTCTCAGGAGCCATAGGCCCCGTGAGCCGGCACCTCGAGACCCGCGAGTCCCAGGAGGTCGTCGCAACCATGTCAGAGACAGTGGTCTCTTACCCTCACGCTGTTCCCCTTGCTGCTGTACCTTCTTCATGAACACATCCCCGTCGTTAACACGTGTAGCGACTGGTCTGCTCATTGCTTTGCTACATGTTGAGACTAAATTTCAGGAAGACAGTAGCCTTCGTGTTTTGCCCCTTCCTGACTCTTCAGTGCGCGGGAGGGTGTTGGTGCCACAGTGGGCACCCGCTGAATGGATGAGTGGGACGACCCCCAAGCCTAGTGCTGGCGGGGCGTGGCTGGGGAAGGGTGGTCCCAGGCTGACCTGTGCCGCATCCTCCAGCCACTTCCACCTGGACCACTGCGGGGCGCTGCCCTACTTCAGCGAGATGGTGGGCTACGACGGGCCCATCTACATGACGCACCCCACCCAGGCCATCTGCCCCATCCTGCTGGAGGACTACCGCAAGATCGCCGTGGACAAGAAGGGCGAGGCCAACTTCTTCACCTCCCAGATGATCAAGGACTGCATGAAGAAGGTGGTGGCTGTCCACCTCCACCAGACGGTCCAGGTCCGGGTCCCCAGGCTCCCAACTGGCACCCCCCAAACAGCCCCCGCAGCCTGCTCTGCAGTCTGGAAGGCTGGGGCCTCAGGCTTAGCCTCCCCATCTCTCTCTTGTGTCCAGCACTGTGAGGACACCAGGAGGCAACAGTGGGCAAGCACACAGGTCCCGGCCCAGATGTGGCATTTAGCCTGGGGGGTGTACATGGTTACATGGTACGTGTGTGTGCGTGCGTGCGTGTTTGTATGTACGTGTACACGCAGGCTTCTGTGCCTGAGTGGCACTGAGGAGGCCAGAGGAGAGCCGACTGGTTCCCCTGGAAGGACGCAGTGCTCTGGGACATTCAGTGCCATCAGCGGGGAGCAGAGTCCGGCTGGCAAGACAGGCAAGCCCTTAAGGGTGACCAGTGCCAGGTGTGGTGACTTGTGCCTGGGCTGGGAGGGAGTGAAGAATATTAAGCAGGCAAGTGACAAATCAGGTTCAGTAAAAGTTTCTCACAGAGACTGTGGATTTGCTTATTTTCATTGGAGTCTGTGGGTTTTGCATTATCTATTTTGAAACCGTGTTATTAGGTGCCTATACATTTTGGGTCATTTATTCTTCTAATTTAACCTTTTATCACAACAAAGTTTTAGTTTTTTGTTGTTTTATGTTTTCTTTGGAGACAGTCTTGCTCTGTCGCCCAGGCTAGAGTACAGTGGCATCATCATAGCTCACAGCAACCTCAAACTCCTGGGCTCAAGCGATCCTCCTGCTTCAGCCTCCCGAGTAGCTGAGACTATAAGAGTATACCACCACACCCGGCTAATTTTTTCTATTTTTAGTTGTTTGGCTAATTTTTTTTTCCTATTTTTGGTAGAGATGGGGGTCTTGCTCTTGCTCAGGCTGGTCTTGAACTCCTGGGCTCAAGCAATCCTCCTGCCTCGGCCTCCCAGAGTACTAGGATTACAGGCGTGAGCCACCACACCTGGCCATGAAGTTTTATATTTAATAATGCTTTTTATCTTAAAGTCTACTTTTCTGATAACATAGTTACACCAACACCCACCCACCTTTTTTCTTAGTGTTTTCATGGTATATCTTTTCCCATTTTTTTACCTTCAGCCTTGCTGTATCGTATTTTAAATATGGTGTTTTAAGTAGCATGGAGTGTGTGTGTGTTTGCTGCAGCATGCTAGCTGTGTCTGGGTGGGCCGTTCAGACTCTGGTAAGACGGCTCTGGGTGTAGCTGACATTCTTACTGTTGGCTGCCTGTTCTGTTGTTGTTTTTACTTTCCCTTATTGCCTTTTTTGGATTTTTTTTTTAATTTCATTTTTCCCTTTATTGGCTCAGCAATTACATATTCTTTCACAGTGCTTTTAGTGGTAGAGATTACAAAATGCATCCTTGACAACAAAAATCTAAGTTACTTGGAACTTTTGCCTTTATCCTGGACAATGCAAGAATCTTAGAACACTTTAAATCCGTTTACCTTCTCCTGGTGTACTAGCTCTTGTTTCCATGTGTTTTAACTCTCAGCATATTTTAAACACAGCAAGACATGCTTTTTGTTTTTTTTTTGAGACAGAGTCTCGCTCTGTTGCTCGGGCTAGAGTGCCATCCGTGGTGTCAGCCTAGCTCACAGCAACCTCAAACTCCTGGGCTCAAGCGGTCCTCCTGCCTTAGCCTCCCGAGTAGCTGGGACTGCAGGCATGCGCCACCATGCCCGCCTAATTTTTTCTATATATTTTTAGCTGTCCAATTATGTTTTTTTGTTTTTTTTTTTTGAGACAGAGTCTCACTCTTTTTGCCTGGGCTAGAGTGCCGTGGTGTCAGCCTAGCTCACAGCATCCTCAAACTCCTGGGCTCAAGCAATCCTTCTGCCTCAGCCTCCCGAGTAGCTGGGACTACAGGCATACACCACCATGCCCGCCTAATTTTTTCTATATATTTTTAGCTGTCCAATTAATTTCTTTCTATCTCTTGCTCAGGCTGGTCTTGAACTCCTGAGCTCAATCTGCCCGCCTCAGCCTCCCAGAGTGCTAGGATTACAGGCGTGAGCCACCACGCTTGGCCAAGACATGATTTTTTAAATTATCTTCAGGCTATGTGTATAGAGACATCATTTCTAATGCTTTGTAAAGTTAACATTTATTTAGTTTCATCTATATGTTTACCCTTTGGATTGCACCTCTCTACTTCTGACATTTTCCACCTTTTACTGGGGATAATCTATCTTCTGCCTAGAGAACACTAGGATGGATCTGCTGGTGGTGCATTCTTTTATATTTGTTTGCAACTGGATTATTTTACCTCATTCTGGAGGGACTTTTTTGTGTGTGTGCGTAGAAATGGTCTCCATATACTGCCCAGGATGGGCTGGCCTCAACCGATCCTCCTGCCTTGGCCTCCCAAAGCACTGGGATTATAGGTGTGAGCCACCACGCCTGGCTGACTTTTTAAAAATTAGGTACAGTATTCAAGGTTGGTGTTTTTTTTTTTTTTTTTCAAGGCAAGCATGAAAATGAGGTTTATTGAGAGAAAGATAGGATTACAAGGCTAGCAAGATATAGGTTTACAGAGCATGGTACACACGCTGCAGATGGTGACTAGACCCATTTTCGCAGCAAAGGGAGAGCAACAGGAAGGGCACAAAAAGGGGTTGACAGTTATTTTGTATTTTGTATCGTTCCGTCTGCTGTTTTGAAGAGAAACCGTTTTGCATGGGCTACTTACCTGATTATGTCCTTTTCCTTGGTTCTGGTGGTTGTGCTGCGCTGGGCCTGTGTGCTGTGCTCTTATTCAGCCTATTCACAGTTTGAGGCCTCCTGGGTCTGTGGCTTGATGTCTTCCATCAGGTTCCTTCCAATGTGGCTTCTATCCCATTCGTGCTCGCCTCTCCTCCTGGGCACCAATGTCTGCATGTCAGACCTGCTCACTCCAGACCTCTGCCATCCTTCCTTTCCATGCTTCATGCTAGGTATATGTTTCAGTGCACTAATTCTCTTTTTGGTTATATGTGATCTGTTGTTCAATTCATCCCTTGAGTTCTTATAGTTCCTGGTTTTGGCCTTTCTGCTTTTTTAAAAAAATAGTTTATAGTTTCTCACCAGCATTTTTTTTGTTCTGTTTTTGAGACAGAGTTTTTGCTCTGTCACCTGGGCTAGAATGCTGTGGCATCAGCCTAGCTCACAGCAACCTCGAACTCCTGGGCTCAAGCGATCCTCCTGCCTCAGCCTCCCGAGTAGCTGGGACTACAGGCGTGAGCCACCGCGCCTGGTGTAATCCTGTTTGTCATCTCGATGAATGTATTACCACAGTCTTTTAAAGTCCATGTCTGGAAACTTCACTTTCAGGAGTCCTTAAATGTTTAGTATATTGTTTCTCTTGTTTCTCATCTCTGTTGGTCTCATCTCATGTCTGGTTTCTTTGGATTGAGAACCGGATGTTCTACGTGACAAGAGGAAAGGAAAGGCTAAGACCGATGCCCTCTCCTCAGGTGGACGACGAGCTGGAAATCAAGGCCTACTATGCGGGTCACGTGCTGGGGGCGGCCATGTTCCAGATCAAAGTGGGCTCAGAGTCGGTGGTCTACACGGTCAGTGGAAGGACTTGGGAGGGGCTGCCCAGGGCTCGGGAGGCACCCTCCTCATTGCCACCTCTTTCCCCAGGGTGACTATAACATGACGCCAGACCGACATTTGGGGTGAGCAGGCTGGTGTGTGTGTTTCATCCTGTGGGGTCCTGCTGGAGCTTGGTGACCTCAAGGGTATGGTGGTGTGGTGTTCCCCCCAGTCCTCCTGTGTGGTGTGGAGAGTCCCTTCCTGCTGAGCCCAGACACATGAAGGCACAGGGTCCAGGTTGGGCCTCTGTTCCTCCTCCTGTCTCCTGAGTGTGCTGCCCGTGGCCTCTGACCATGTGGGTGCAGAGAAGGCTGCCAGCCAGGGTGGCCCAAGAAGGTGGCTCTAAACCGGCTGGGTCTGGTGCGTCATGCCCAAGCCTGCAGCTGTGGGCCAGTCCGCCACAGGCCACGCCCTCCCGTGTTCCAGAGCTGCCTGGATCGATAAGTGCCGCCCCAACCTGCTCATCACGGAGTCCACGTACGCCACGACCATCCGAGACTCCAAGCGCTGCCGGGAGCGAGACTTTCTGAAGAAAGTCCACGAGACTGTGGAACGTGGTGGGAAGGTAGCAGGCCAGAGGCAGGGCTCTGGGATGTGGGCCCACCCTGTACAGGTCCTGGCAGGCTTGGCTGCCCTTGGCATGTGCTCGGGGTCTCAGGGTAGGGTTGCTGTGTTTTCTGGGCATGGAGGAAGGTTTTCAGCATTGAAGAGAAAAACTCTGGAAGACCCTGCACTGGGGATCTCGTTTGTCCCTCATGTCCCAGATCTTGATGAAGGGCCAGCACGAGCCTCCACTGTGGTCCTTTCTGCCCCAGACTGTGCCTGGGACGGGAGTGGTGGCAGAATGGGAGGGCTGGGGTCCACGTGGGGCCTCTGTCTCTCAGGGCTGCCTGGCCATGCCCTCTCAGTGGCTGCTACCTGCTGGCTCCATGGGGAGCACAGCTGGGGCCCCCGCCTGAGCTAGCCCCCCCTGCCCTGCAGGTGCTGATCCCTGTATTTGCACTGGGCCGAGCACAGGAACTCTGCATCCTGCTGGAGACCTTCTGGTAGGTGCAGCCAGGGGGCTCTTCTAGGAGCCCTGCCCGGGGCTGGGAGGCGGGCAGCCTGTGCGTGGGACAGCTGGCTATTCACACACAGCCCAGCAGGGCACCAGCTCAGACTAGTCGAGGTGGTGTCAGCAACCACTGGGTACAGCGGACACCCTGGCCATTGGCATCTCAGCCCTGCTCACTGTTGTTTTTGAGGGAGAGGCACCCACGTCTCTGACCGTGTGCCGGGAGACCCATGATGTCACGTGGGCAGTGCTGTCTGCTTGCTCTTGTCAGGGTCTTTGGCTGCACACCGAGCCCTCCGTCAGTCCCAGCGTTTTATAGGAGGATGTAGGCTGAGGGCACTGGCTTCTGTGGTCGGAGGGGTGGGAGACAGCAGGGGGTTCAGGCCTTCCAGTAGACTCGCACCAGCCCACGCTGGAGCTGCGCGAATGAGGGGGTGTGGGGGCAATGAGGCCCGGTCCTCCAGCAGGGTCCTCCCATGGCCACTGCATTAACCAGGCCGGCGGGTCCCCAGGGAGCGCATGAACCTGAAGGTCCCCATCTACTTCTCCACGGGGCTGACAGAGAAGGCCAACCACTACTACAAGCTCTTCATCACCTGGACCAACCAGAAGATCCGCAAGACCTTCGTCCAGAGGAACATGTTTGAGTTTAAGCACATCAAGGCCTTTGACCGGGCATTTGCGGACAACCCGGGTCCGATGGTGAGGCCCCGCGGTGGCCAGTGCTGTCCATGGGCACCCTCTCCTTCCACATCTGGGGGGCACGTGAGGGGACCAGTGGCAGCTGGGGGGTTCCTGCCTACAGGTCTCTGGTTGGAAGATGGGGTCTGAGGTAGGGCCCCGCATCTGCTGCCCTGACCCACCCGTGTCCGCCTGCAGGTTGTGTTTGCCACGCCAGGGATGCTGCACGCGGGCCAGTCCCTGCAGATCTTCCGGAAATGGGCAGGGAATGAGAAGAACATGGTGAGGGCTCCTGGGTCTCCAGAGAGCCTGAGGTTGGGCAGGGATAGCAAGGGGTACAGGGACTGTCCTTCCACCTGCCCTGTCCTTGTGCTGCCAGTCGGCAGGCTTGGCTGCCCCTGGAATGTGTTTGGGGTCTCAGGGTAGGGGTGCTGTGTTTTCTGGCATGGAGGGAGGAAGGTTTGCTCAGCCTTGAGAAGAAAAACTCTGGAAGACCCTGCACTGGGGATCTTGTTTGTCCCTCATGTCCCAGATCTTGATGAAGCTCCATGCTGGCCTGGGGATGCTGCTGTAGCTGGGTGTGGCTGGCATCTGATATCCGACCCAGCAGCTCAGACTCTCTGAGACTGGGCCCGGCTGTGTCAGGCGGGAAGGCCTCCAGCCACCTGAGCAGGCGCTGTGACAGTCACCTCCCAGCCTGGCCCTGAACAGTCCTGTGCTGAAAACCCTGACCCCTCTGGGGTCTATAGCAGGGCTCCGGAGGAGCTTCCGCCAGGGAGGGGGCAGCCTGCAAGGGTTCAGGCCGGGGATGTCCAGGGGGAGCCCCTGATGTGCCGAGGCTGGGGTCCTACCGCTGTGGGACCGCTGCAAGCTCCACCCCGCCCTGCAGGTCATCATGCCTGGCTACTGTGTGCAGGGCACCGTGGGCCACAAGATCCTCAGCGGGCAGCGCAAGCTGGAGATGGAGGGCCGGCAGGTGGTGAGTCTGAGTCCCCGCCAGGCCAGCAGGGGGGCCGGCCAGCCCTGGTGGTGACGGCATCTGCGCCCTGTGCCCGCAGCTGGAGGTGAAGATGCAGGTGGAGTACATGTCGTTCAGCGCCCACGCTGACGCCAAGGGCATCATGCAGCTGGTGGGCCAGGCGGAGCCGGAGAGCGTGCTGCTGGTGCACGGCGAGGCCAAGAAGATGGAGTTCCTGAAGCAGAAGATCGAGCAGGAATTCCGTAGGCAGCGCGCTGGGCGCCACGGTCGCCTGTCGGGGGCGCTGGGTGGGGCCCGCCTCTGGGGGCAGGGCTGCCAGCCTGGACTGAGGCTCCTCTTCTCATGCTCAGGAGTCGACTGCTACATGCCGGCCAATGGCGAGACTGTGGTGCTGCCCACAAGCCCCAGCATCCCCGGGGGCATCTCGCTGGGGCTGCTGAAGCGGGAGATGGCGCAGGGTAGGTGGCAGGGCAGTGGGCGCCGTGGGCAGGTGGCTGGTGAGCCTGCAGCCCGTTGAAGGCTCCTGTGCCCCCGCCCCCACAGGGCTGCTCCCCGAGGCCAAGAGGCCCCGGCTCCTGCACGGCACCCTCATCATGAAGGACAGTGTGAGTACCGGGGGCCTGGGGAGGGGGCCGCTCCTGCTCTGCCTGACCTGCCCCCGCCCCGCAGAACTTCCGGCTCGTGTCTTCGGAGCAAGCCCTTAAGGAGCTGGGCCTGGCCGAGCACCAGCTGCGCTTCACCTGCCGCGTACACCTACACGACACACGCAAGGAGCAGGAGACGGCCATGCGTGTCTACAGCCACCTCAAGAGGTAGGCATCCCGCCCTGCCCCTGCCCCGGGGGCCCGGCAGGGTCTCACGGCGCATCCCCGCAGCATCCTGAAGGACCACTGCGTACAGCACCTCCCGGACGGCTCCGTGACGGTCGAGTCCATCCTCATCCAGGCCGCCGCCCCCTCTGAGGACCCAGCCACCAAAGTGCTGCTGGTCTCCTGGACCTACCAGGTGAGGAGCCGGCAGGATTGCAGTGTGGCACCCACCCCGTGGCATCAGTCCCGCCTCACCCTGGGCTGTCTGCAGCGGGGCCGGGATAGCTGTGGCCCTCTTTGCCTCCACTGTAGGATGAGGAGCTGGGCAGCTACCTCACGTCACTGCTCAAGAAGGGCCTCCCCCAGGCCCCCAGCTGAGGTTGGCCAGTTGCCCAGGCCTGCTGACCGCCGCCTCTGCCCAGCTGGAGGGTCCTGCATTTCCACGCCAGGGCTCTGTGTGCCCTGGGTGAATGGAGCCCAGAGCTGGGCCATGGACGACCCCCATCCCCGAGATGAGGCCACAGCGTCACACTCCTGCCAGAGCAGCTGTTTCTGGCTGAAGAAATAAAGGAGTCTCTAGGATTGCTTCGGCTTTTATTGCTACTCTCGGGCCCCAAGAAGACAGTGGGGCAGGGGACTTTCAGGCAGCAATCGCCAATAAAAGCAGAACCAGAGACCGCTCGGCTTTCCCTTCCCAGTGCACATCCCGTCTCCTTCACCCCACCCCATGCCAGTCCACCCGGCACAGACGGCAGCGTCCAGGCTGGTAGGGACTCTGGGTAGGTATGTTGTGGCCCCAGGTGGCTGTGGACGTGCTGGCTTGACCAGCAGAGGGCTGGTCCTGCTGGGCCCACAGTGCCGTGGCTGGCATGACCTTGGCTGAGTGTCCGGGCTCACCTGTGGCTTCCACACTGGATCCTACAGAGCCCAGGAGGCGGGACCTGTGGACAGACCCCCGATGGGCCTGGGCAGAGGTTGGCCTAAAGCCCTCTGCATGCTGGGATCTTACTGGGGCTGAGGGGCTGTGGCTCTGGGAGAGGGGGCACCTTCACTCCACACCCCCCAGCCCTCCCCATTCCATCTGCCTGTTCAACACTAGGGCCGTGACTGCCACCGAGAGCGCCCTCCCCAGCACAGACCCGGCCTTAGGAGGGGTCAGTCAGAGGAGTGTGCAGTAGACCCCTTCTTGGCTTGCTCTTCTTACCGAGGCCCTCCAGACCCTCATATAGCACTGACTTCAGGAATAAGCCATAGGCTGGGGCCACATGCGACTGGTATTTGCCCAGGGGGTCTTGGCTGTCCAGAATCACCTTCACCTGGGCAGGCGTCAAAGCCCCCAGCCCCACGGCCACCAGCACCGCTGTCATCCTCCGGACCTGCAACCCAGAGCCAAGACTGCTACAGAGGCCTGTATACCCGACCCCCGGGAGGGCCCCAGGACAGAGCCTACCTGTCTGTACAGGAAAGACTGACTCTCAAACTCCAGGCTCCAGAAGCGCAGCCTGCTGGGAGATAAGCACCTGTGACATCCTGACCCTGGGGCAGCCCCTGCCACCCCCAGCCTGCCATGTGGCCTCAGCAGGCCCAGCTCATCACCAGGGCCCCTCACTGACCACCTGCCCCTTCTGGGGGCTTGCGCAATGCTTGTGCAAGGCAGAGGCAGCAAGACCCTGCGGGGGCCCACAGAGACAGTGGCCTGGCAGGTCCCCCATGGAGATGCCCCAAGTCTGAGATCCTGGCAGAGTCTGGGCTGCTGAGGGGAGCACAGCCGGTTCACCCGAGACCCCAGCCCTGGGCCTGGTGCCCTCCCCCTAGAGTCTGGGGTGGCCATGCAGGAATCCCTCCTCCCCTTGGGCTGGCCAGGACTGGGAGGGTTCTAAGGGTCAGCAGCTGCTACCTGGCAGGAGGCCCCTGGACAGTGCCAGGGGCAGCAGAACCCACCTCCTGCCAGGCTGGGCCGGAACCACTGGCCCAGTGAAACCTTTTAAGCAGCTGCCAAAATCCACCCACTGGTGGACAGCTCTGGGCAGGGCAGGGGTCCCCTGAGAAAGGAAGCCATCTCTGTTCTCTGCTCCTCAGCCTGGTAGGGACCCCGGCTGTGGGGAAGGGCACAGCTGCAGACTCGAGGGTGTCTGGGCTGTGCCACTTGACTGCCCCGCACTCTCCAGCTGACCAGCATCCCCCTTACGAGGCCCTGTGGGTGCCTGCTACCCCCAGTCCAGCCTCTGCCTGCCTTTGCTGGAGGAAGGGCAAGGGCTTAATTCAGCATCGATGGCCTGGGGTAGGGCCACAGTGCACGGCCACCCTTCCTCACCTGCTCTCCTGGGGGAGGGCGAAGGTACTGGCTGGCCCTGGGGACACTGAGACTTGGCGCAGGGTTCGCACAGGGGTAGCGGCTGGGCTGCCGGCCGACTGGAAGGCGCTGAAGTCATGCGTCCCAAGGAGGTGCCGGGCAGCCTCCTGCATGGCGTCCACATCCAGGCAGCTTCAGGGAGCCAGGTCAACAGTCAGGAGGGTGGGGCCCACCAGGTGTTCCGGCCGCCCCTTCCTCATTCCCACAACCACACTCACTCTGCTCGCAGAGCCCAGCACAAGTTCCGTTCAAACACAGGCAGCTGACTGGGCCGGGAGCAGCCAGTTGCCAAGCGGTACAGGTAGGTCCTGGATGTGGCTGCGTAGCGTGCGTGAAAGTCGCTGGGCACTCGGAAGGCCTGCAGTACCCTGTGGTAGTAGGTCAGGCTAGCTGGAAGAATGACCCACCTGCCCAGGTGACACCTTGGTATCTTCCCCATCCTCCCAAGTTCTGTCCAGACATAAAGTCTTTCCAGGTCTCCAGCCTACACCAGCAGTAGACAGAGTCAGGTGACAGCAGAGTCCCAGGTGAGCTCAGGTTGCTGGGCTCACCTGATGGCCGGGTGCTTCAGGTGGGTGTTGAGGGCCTGGGCCAGGACCTCAGGGGAGAAGGGTGGCTGGCCTGAGCGGCGCTGGACGTCCAGGTGCGCGGCATTACTCAGGGCATGGACCCCGGCGTCCGTGCGGCTGGAGATGGTGAACTTGACCGGCAGGACGGAATTCAGCCGCGCTGCGGCCTCCTGCGGGGACGGGCGCTGGGGCAGGCAGGCAGCACGGGGGGAAGCCGCAGCCCTGAGGGACGGTTCCCCATGCCCTGGGGGGGGGCTGTGGGCTCCCATCCACCCCTCGCCGGGCACCCCGGGGACGCCCTCCTCCGGGGTGGGCTGGCGGAGCTCACCTCCAGGTAGTCCTGGACCCCGACGGCGCGCTGGGCGCCCCGGACAGCCGCGACTCCGCTGCTTGCAGAGGAGCGCAGGTTACGGGCGGGGTCCGCCGGCCCGCCCGCCGCCGAGGCGCAACACAGACCGGCCCCCGTCCCGAGACGTCCGCGGCGCGACCCTAGATCTAGCGCCCGCCCGCGCCCTCCCGGGGGCCGAGGCCCGCGGGGCTGCCGTTCCTCCCCGGGTCCAGCTCCCGTCCTTCCCGCTCCCTCCCGGCAGGCGCACAACGTACTTGAAGTCCGTGCCCCGGTACTGGAAGTACACGAGGTAGCGCGCCGGCATCCAGCCCGCCGCGGAACCCGGACCCATGACGGGGCGGGGCGGGGCGCGCCGCACGTGGGTCCTGCGCGCGCGGCCGGCCCCGCCCCCCGCGCCTGTGCCAGCGCCAGCGCCAGCGCCGCCCCGCCCGGCAGCGCCGCCTCGCGCCCCTCGGCGACCGGGGGCGGGGCGGGGGCGGGGCCGCGCTTAGGGAGCCGGTGCAAAGTGCCGGCCCGGCTCCGGCGCGTGGACCCAATCGCACCGGCGCGGCGCCCAGGCCCTGCAGGCGCGCTCCCGCTCGCTCGCGCGTGCACTCGCTGCGCCGCCGCCGCCCCTGCTCCCGGAGCGTCTGGCTGCTGCGTTCCGGCCAAACCCTCCCGGACGTGGGTTTTGCAAACGGCCGAGCTGCGCAGCGGCCGGACGGCTGGAGCAGGCGGGGCCCGCGCGTGTCCCGCGCCCCGCGAGCGCGCCGACGGCCCCTGAAGGCGACTGTGCGGACGGGCCCCGCATCCCCGCCCCGGGCGGCCCGTGCACGCGCGGAGGGCGTTGGGCGACGCTCCCCGGCGGCGGCGGCGGCGGCGGCGGCGGCGGCGGACTTGGGCGACGCTCCCCGGTGGTGACAGCGGGCGGGGCGCGCGGGACGGGCCGGCCGGGCTGCCCTGGGCGCTCCGTGCCAGCGAGCGCCGCGCGCCGCAGCCATGACGGTGGAGTTCGAGGAGTGCGTCAAGGACTCGCCGCGCTTCAGGTGCGCCGGGCGGGGCGGGCGGGCGGCCTTTGTGCCCGCGCGGGCGGCGGGCGGGGGTAGAGGGCCGCCGGACAAAGCCGCCCGCTCCGGGGAACAAAAGACGCCCCTGCGCGGCCGTGTCCGGCCGGGCCGCCCTGGGCACGGCCGCCGCCGCACCGTCCGCCCAGCTTCGTGTCCGCGCCCTCGTTCGCGGCTCCCCCGGGGGCCACGCCACTCCCCGGCCCCGCAGTCGGGCTCTGGCCAGGGTTGTCTGGGTCCGTTGGGGGGGGTTCTGTGCCTGGTCCCTGCCGTGGTTCATGTGTCCGGAGCAGTGCACGGGGGACAGGCAGCTGAAGCCATTTGGAGCCTTGGGATGGGCTTCGTGGCAGGGGTGGAGGGTGCCCTGGGGGTTTGAGGGGTGGGGGCTGTCAGAGTGGTGCGGAAGGGTAGGTGGGAGGGTAGGGTTTGCGTCCACTCTTGCGTTCGTGTGTTTTTCATCATTCTTGGGCGTGCAGGCGTGCACATCTGCATGAACCACATGTTCCTGGACGTGTGCACAAGTGTGCATCTGCCTTACCCGTCTGACGACGTTTTGCAGACAGTAATGGAGGCAAACAAACCTCCTCTGTTCCATTCTTACAAGTGTGCCTTTGCGTGAGGCCACCTTCTGCTGCACATGCTCGTGCGGGCTGCATCTCCTCTGTGCCCCTCCCTGGAGGTGCCAGACCATGCATAGAACGTGTGGGTGAGCTGCACCACTGGGTTGGCATACTAGATGCATGCATGGGTGTGCATATGACACTCCTCTGTGTGGATTCATGTGATATGCTTACTATGTCACTAGACAGACATGTTAGCTTGTGCATGTGTGTCCCAGCACTGGGAGCACATGTCCATGCACTACATCCTTGGATACACACACCTGCGCACAGTGCCACTGCATGCAGCCATGTTTGTGCATGAGCATATGTGTCATCTTTGCATGGGTGTGCTTGGTCATGCGTGTGTGTACATGCTGGGTGTCTGGGGGCCTGCCAGCAAGAGGGCCTTGTGGGGGTGCACCTGTGGGCTTTGGCATCACTCAAGCCAGCCCCAAGCACAGCTGCCTGCAGAGGGTGCCCTTCCGCACCACGCTGACAGCCAACAATGAGCACTCTGGCATCCCAGGATCCTGTGCCCCACCATGGGCCTCTGTCCTCCAAGACCAGGCTGGGGCAAGGCGTGGCCAGGGGCTCCTTGCAAGGGGCAGCGGGCGGGCTCAGTCCTGGCTGAAGCACCTTCACCCTGGCCCTTCACTCAGAGCCTCATGCTCCTCCTCTGCCCACACAGATGGATCTGGGCTGACCTTCCTTGGTCGGGTGGGGGTGCTGGAACCCCACCACCTCTGGGCCTTCCCTCCTTCACCAGCCTGGTGCGACCATGGGGCCCGCAGTAGGTGCTGCAGCTGCCTGGGCTTTGCAATGCTGCTTCTAGTAGGAAAGGGCTGCCCAGGGTGGGGGCTGCCCAGGGTGGGGACACGGGACTGGAGCAGAGAGCTGAGGACAATTTACGTGGACCCTGGTCTTGGGGCCTCAGAAGCCAGGCTCCGTGGGTTTGGTGTTGGGCTGTGATTTAACTGGGGTTTGAGGGGCTCCCTGAGGCTGTCCTGGGGTTCCTCTGTCAGCTCACGCTCAGGTACCCCTGAGGCCGTAACTTGAGCTCCCTGGTGCCCACCCTGCCTGGGCCAGGGCAGGACAGGAGAAGGTGGCCTCCGATGTGGAGCCTGGTGGCCCCAGCCCTGGGAAGGGGGACACTGCTTGGGCCCTCCTGGCCTGAGGAGGAGCTGCCTGTGGGTCAGGGTCTCGGGGAGCCTGCTGGGGGGAGCTGCCCGGCCATTATTCAGCTTGTCCCAGCCTGGGTGGGGCTCCAGGCGCTGAGTCACGGCTTTGGTGGAGGGGCCGGCCTCACCCTCCCCGCCACCCTCCACCACCCTCCACACTGCTGAGATCCTGCCCAGCAGGGAGGAGGCCTCAGGTCCCCCTGGGCTGGGGACGGATGTGCTCAGGGGCTCCCAGGACTGGGTGCAGCCCTCAGGGCCTCTGCTGAGCACCCTGTTTTCCCCAGAGCATATCTGTCAGCTCCTGGTGCAGCCCCGCACTTGCCGCCCTGCCAGGGACACAGGCGCCCCCAGCCTGGGGGTGGCAGCTCTGGGTGCAGCTGTCTCTGCATCCGGCCCTGCTCAGGGCAGTCGCTGGCTGTGGGCTCTCGGGGCGGGGCTGTCTCTGCAGCACTGCCCTGGGCTGGTCCCTTCACTGTTCCGGAACCCCCAGGGGAGGGGAGATGCCACAGTAGTGGAGGGGTCCTGGGCTGGCCACACCTCCAAGGATGTGGGCTGGGCTGGGCTCTGGTGTTCATGCAGCTAGATTCCCTCTGTCCCCTCAGTCCCTTAGAGAGGAGCTGGTGTCCTGCCTAGGTGAGAATTAAGGCAGGCCTCATGGGACCCCGCAGGCCTGGGAAACCCTGGAGCATGCCCCTCCCCCTGCTAGTCCACAAGGGTTGAGGGGCTGCTGGACCCGCCCAGGGCCTGTTCTGAGGACAGCCTCCGCCCCTGGCGCCTGCCCAAGCCCTGAAGTCCCATCCCGAGAGGCCAGATGGGCCGCGGCTCGCCAGCTGAGCCAATTGTGTGGTGTGAGGGGCTGCGGGACCCTGGCCCCATTTCCCGATTTCCTGCTCCCGGAGGGGGGTGGTCACGTGTGGATCCATCTGCCTCTTGCCTTCCGGGGGTTCTCCTGGTGGCTTCTCCAGTGATGTCATGCCTTAACTCTTCTCTCCCCAGGCAGCACCGCGGTTGCGCTGCCCTGGTGGGAGCGGGCTCTGGGCGGGGCTGCCCCTCTCGCTCTGGCTGTTTGATGTTTTGCGGTGGAGGAGCTGGGGCATCTCTCCCTGGCTGCTCTGGTGCTGCCAGGACAGAGAGCAGCTGGCCCTAGCCGCCGTCTCCCACCCCGCGGCTCCCGGGTCTGCAGAGGGGCATGGGGCAAGAGCTGAGGGGGTTGCAGTGCAACCAGATGGGATCTGGGGTGAACTCTGAGCCCGGAGAGGAGGGAAGCCGGGGAGGCTCGGCCTGGCCCTCAGGGGCAGCACCACCGTGGGGCTCCGGCTGCGTCCGTGGAACACGTATGTTAGGACACAAATGGGCCGCTGTCCTCAGGGGCTGCCACCTGCCTGACCTGTCCCCAGGTCTGTCAACCAGCCAGAGCCTGGGTGGGGGGTCACAGCCACCAGGGCTTCTTCCTGCCTGGGGTGGTGGTGGGTGCCGGCGGCTCCAGAGTTGAGGACCTGGGCCAGCCTGTGTCCTGGAGCCCCTCCTATGGTGACCCCTGGGGAGGTGCGAGGGGTGGTGAAGCCCCAGGCTGAGCCCCAGTGCCCCGTCCTCGTTGCAGGGCCACCATCGATGAGGTAGAAGCAGATGTGGTGGAAGTCGAGGCCAAGCTGGACAAGGTGAGGGCAGGGCCCCGCCTGGGCTGGGCTGGCGGCTGGCAGGACTCGTCTTCCAGGTTTACTGACTCGTTTGCGTGCGTGTGTGTGTGTTGCACATGGCACATGCTGCCTGTGTGTGAGCACACGTGGGCATGCATAGGACCCACGTCCGTCCCTTGTTGGCCCCTCTGTGTCCCACCGTACGTGTTCCAAGCTGCACACGCGCATACACGTGGCTCACCCTGAGCCCGTCCCATCCAGGACGGGCGGGCCTTGGCGAGTCCCGGCCCTCAGTGTGCCGGCCTGGCCCTCCCCCCACTGCTGCCGGAACCGTTGCTCGGTGTGCCTGGCTGGGGGCTGAGAGCAAGGGCAGGGGCCGCCACACTGGCTGTTCTAACAGACCCCGCCAGAGCCACGCGCCACAGCGCAGCCTGGGGTCCCCTGTTTGGGGCTCCCCTGGCCTGCCCAGCCTCCCTTCCTCCCAGAACTTCCCAGAAGCTCCAGGCAGGCTCCGGCTTGAGGGAGCCCAAGGTGCGGTGCGGCCCCTCCCCAGTCCTGCGTGCCAGACGGGCCCTGAGTTGAATTCCGGCCTCCTGGGATGGTGGTGGTGAGGGCAGGTGTGAGGGTCGCTGGCTTGGAGAAGCTGCTGGCCCCTCGCCTAGCCCGCCACGTCCCGTCCGCAGCTGGTCAAGCTGTGCAGCGGCATGATCGAGGCTGGCAAGGCCTACGTCAGCACCAACAGGCTCTTCGTGAGTGGCGTCCGTGACCTGTCCCAGCAGTGCCAAGGCGACTCTGTCATCTCAGTAAGGGGCCAGCTGACCTCTGACCGCCAGGGGTGGGTAGGGGCAGAAGGCAGCCCTTGAGGGGGGCCCAGGCCCAAGGAGCAGGTGGGTCCTGCCCTGGACCTAAGAGGTGGCTCTGTGTCCCGTGGGCTCGGAGGGCTTGGCTGGCGCGTCGGCCCCACGCCTGCCCGTGTCAGCGTGCGATCTCTCTGCTCTGCCTCTCCCCAGGAATGTCTGCAGAGGTTTGGAGACAGCTTGCAGGAGGTGGTCAACTACCACATGGTGAGCCCTGGCCACCCTGTTTGGTGTCGTCCCCCGAGGCAGCTCCCCCACTGCCCGCAGGCCCCGCCCAGCGCGGAGCAGAGCTTGGCTGGCTCGCAGGAGCTGAGCTGGCGGCCGTGGCTGGCTGGGGGAGGCCACGTTTCTGCTCCTCCAGTCTGTGGGGGTGGTGGCCGTCCCGCGTCTGTGAGTCAGTGGGGATGCGGGCAGACATCATGGGGGCTCAGCCGTGTCCCGGGTGTGGGGGCTGTGAGCAGTGGAGGCTTGGCCGAGGAGGCCTTGAGGGTCCCTCCAGGGTCCCCGCAGCTGGGCTGACCTCACTGCCATTCTGGCTGGGCCTGGGTGACCCCCCCGGGGCCGCAGCATTGACGTGGACAAAGAATAGGGCCTGAGGCGCACATGGGTGGTCGCGCCACGGGCTGGGAACCAGAGCCCCAGACTAAACAGGGGCCCCACCCCGTGCAGGGGAAGTTCAGAAATAAACCAGCTCAGGATTGCATGTCCTGCGTGTGTCCTTGTGTGTTCCTGGTGAGGCCCAGCCCCCTCCACATGGGGGGTCTGATGCTGGGCTCAGTGCTGTGGGGAGGACCCAGAGCCCCTCCACTGCCCAGGCCAGGCCCCTGGGGGCTCTCGGCTCTGACCTGCCGCGATGCCCGTCATCCTCCAGGGGCTTCTGGGGCCAGGGGCGAGTGTCGCTCCGTGCCCTGTGCCTGCCCCAGTTGGGGGCTGTGGATGGGGCTGGAGGAAGGGCCCAACCTTGAAAGTGCTGCCCTGCAGGCCAGCCACGAGCCAGCTGGGGCAGATGGGCAGGTGGTCACAGCCGTCCCTCTGTGCGCTGCTCCCCAGACCCTGCCCCATGTCCGGGTGGTGGGCAGTGTCCCTGCTGCGAGCTGGGCAGGCCAGCCGGGTGGGGGTCTGCTGGTTCTCCCTGGGAGGATGGGGCCTGGCCTCCGGGGTGATGTGTGGACGGACCCAGCAGCCCAGCTCGTCCTCTGCTCCCAGATCCTGTTTGATCAGGCCCAGAGGTCCGTGCGGCAACAGCTCCACAACTTTGTCAAGGAGTGAGTGTCTCTGAGGTCCCCAGCCCCTGTGGCGCCAGCACCCGGGAAGAGCCCAGGCCACGCCCCACCTGGAGGAAGGGGTCTGGGGCCTGCCAGGCCTTAGGGCTGTGCAGAAGCTCGCGGGTGGGATGGGCTGGGTTGAGGCTCTGGGGCACGGCCCCAGCTTCATGCTGGCACGTGCGGTTGGGGCGTCCCACCCCAGGGGAGAGGTCGGGCTGATGGGGTGCATGGCCTGGGCTGGATGGATCCTGAGGGCAAGGTGGAGAGGGCTGGGGGGCCCTGGATAGGCAGGCCCTGCCCAAGAGCAGAGGAAGAGGGGTTCACGAAGGTGGAAGACCCCTGAGCGTCTGGGGCCCAGTGGGCAGCCCTCCTCTGACTCTCTGACCTCTGACGCAACACCTGCCGGTCCCCAGGGACGTGCGGAAGTTCAAGGAGACGAAGAAGCAGTTTGACAAGGTGCGGGAGGACATGGAGCTGTCCCTGGTGAGGAACGCGCAGGCCCCGAGGCACCGGCCCCACGAGGTGGAGGAGGCCGCGGGCGCCCTCAGCCTCACCCGGAAGTGCTTCCGCCACCTGGCCCTGGACTACGTGCTCCAGGTGGGCTCCCAGGCAAGGCCCGGGGGTGGCAGGGGGAGCCGTAGGGCCCAAGGCCTTGGCTCATGCAGGGAGGGCTGGGGACCCCGGGAGGGCGAGGCTGGTGTGGCGCGGGCAGCTGAGGACCACCCGGGCGAGGTCTTGGGCCACAAGCAGCCCAGTGGAGCCTGGGGGTGTGGGCTGCGGGCCGCCCTGGCCAAACCCACCGGCTCTTCTGCAGATCAACGTCCTTCAGGCCAAGAAGAAGTTTGAAATCCTGGACTCTGTGAGTGGGGGGCTGCGGGGGCCC